ACCCTATCTCATATCATATTTATTCATATTTGTTATATAAATTCAAAGGTAGGTAGCTCAGAAACATCGCTGTTGATTTTCTCTTATTAAGCTGGCTTGATCTTTCTGTGAGTATCCCTGAACTCTCTCTAAAGGTTACTCATTCCTTAATGTGTGCTCCTACTAGAAAAAGATCCCAACCAGACCATGCTCAAGGCTTAGCACTTTTATAGCACAACAGAGAGGCAGGTCTCAGTGAATGCTACACAGTACTTCTCAAGGAGTAGAGCTTCAAACAGTTGCTTCACAGCCATAGGCCTAAAGTCCTTGTAGGGTCTATAGCTGGAAAGCAGAGTCAGTCTAAGCAGAGTTAGGCAGTGATGGACTCAAGCTAAATGTTCTCTAGACAGTTAACTTCTTGAGCACCAATACTGTTTGATTTCTCTCTATGTACTCTTCTTAGCATATAACCATGGTGAAGCACATGTAGCCACTCTGAGATATGTGATGGATTGAGTCATTGGCTACTCTATGAACACTCATCGTCGTAAGAGAGGAATGAGCAGAACAGACTTTTTTTTTTTTAATCAACATTTAGAAAAGCTAGACTGTGAGAAGCTGAATAACAACATTTCTCCAAACTGAGTAATGTATGAAGCCCTTATGAAGAGAAAAATAATCATTCCTTCTTTGGTTAGAATGTATGTGTCTTTCCAAAATTCATATGCTGGAAATTAAACCCCAAGGTGATGGTATAAACAGGCAGAACCCTTTTGGAAGAGATTAAGTCATGAGTGCTCTGTCCTCATGAATGGATTCGTACTCCTATAAAAGAGGTTGGAGAGAATACCCTAGTCTTTGTTGCCCTTCCCTTTTATTCCTTGTGAGGATGCAGCATAGTACATCATCTTGGAAGCAGAGAGTAGCTTTCACCAGACACTGGATTTGTTGGTACCTTGATCTTGGACTTCCCAGACTCCATAACTGTGAGAAATAAATGTATGTTACTTTTAAATTAACAAGTCTATGATATTCTGTTGTAGCAGCAGGAGTGAATTAACACAATCCCCTATTCTCTAGTGACAATCAAAATCATGTTTATTTTCATGTACTTTGCATAGATATGTGTCAACATAATAAAAGGTATAAACTTCTTTTGTTTACAGTTTTTGTGTGGCTATCACATAAAAAGATTGGAAAATTAAGCACAAAGCAAAACTACAAAATCAGTTATATATAGGGTAACAACATTAATTGAATGCGATAGATGACACCTTACTGAAATTGACACCTTACTGAAATTAAATTGAAGCTTGACATGCAAATATGCTGTTAAAATTGCTATGGTACAGGAGTTCTGTCTAAGTTAAGGTAAGTCAGATGATAGCTTCATTCTGTCATCAATTTCTGTATTCAAACTATTATGAATTTGTTTTCCTATTTTGGAAAAATGTTTTATTATGCATTAAATTTTGGGATACATGTGCAGAACGTGGAGGTTGGTTACATAGCTATACATGTGCAATGGTGGTTTACTGCACCCATCAACCTGTCATCTACTGTAGGAATTTCTCCTAATGTTATCTCTTCCCTTCTCACCCACCTGCCGACAGGCCCTGGTGTGTCATTTTCCCCTCCCTCTGCCCATATCTTCTCATTGTTCAATACCCACTTATGAGTGAGGACATGTGGTGTTTGGTTTTCTATTCCTGTGTTAGTTTGCTGAGAATGATGGTTTCAAGCTTCACCCATGTTCCTGCAAAGGAGATGAGCTCACTCTTTTTTATGGCTGCATACTATTCCATGGTGTATATGTGGCACATTTTCTTTATTCAGTCTAACATTGGTGGGCATCTGGGTTGGTTCCAGATCTTTGCTATTGTGAATAGTGCTGCAATAAACATATGTGTGCATGTGTATTTATACTAGAATAATTTATAATCCTCTGTGTATATACCCAGTAATGGGATTGCTGGGTCAAATGGTATTTCTAGTTCTAGATCCTTGAGGAATTGCCACACTGTCTTCCACAGTGGTTGAACTAATTTACACTCACACAGACAGTGTAAAAATGTTCCTATTTCACCACATCCTCTCCAGCATCTGTTGTTTCCTGACTTTTTCATGATTGCCATTCTAACTGGAAAGAGATGATATCTCATTGTGGTTTTGATTTGCATTTCTCTAAAGACCAGTGATGATGACCTTTTTATTCATATATTTGTTGGCCACATAGATGTCTTCTTTTGAAAATTGTCTGTTCAAGATACTTTACAAAAGAAGACATACATGAGGCCAACAAACATATGAAAAAATGCTCATCATCACTGGTCATCAGAGAAATGCAAATCAAAACTACATTGAGATACCATCTCATGCCAGTTAGAATGGCGATCATTAAAAAATCTAGAGACAACAGATGCTGGAGAGGATGTGGAGAAATAGGAACACTTTTACACTGTTGCTGGGAGTGTAAATTAGTTCAACCATTGTGGAAGACAGTGTGGCGATTCCTCAAGGACCTAGAAATAGAAGTTCCATTTGACCCAGCAATCCCATTACTGGGTATATATCCAAAGGATTATAAATCATTCTACTATAAGGACACGTGCACACGAATATTCATTGCAGCACTGTTTACAATAGCAAAGACCTGGAACCAACCCAAATGCCCATCGATGATAGAATGGACAGGGAAAATGTGGCACATATCCACCATGGAATATTATGCAGCCATCAAAAAGGATGAGTTTGTGTCCTTTGTAGGGACATGGATGAACCCGGAAACCATCATTCTCAGCAAACTGACAGAAGAGCAGAAGATCAAACACCACATGTTCTCACTCATAGGCGGGTGTTGAACAATGAGAACACATGGACACAGGGAGGGGAGCACTACCCACTGGGGTCTGTTGGGGGGAAATAGGGGAGGGATGGTGGGGGGTGGGGAGTTGGGGAGAGATAGCAAGGGGAGAAATGCCAGATGTAGGTGATGGGGAGGAAGGCAGCAAATCACACTGCCACGTGTGTACCTATGCAACAATCTTGCATGTTCTTCACAGGTACCCCCAAACCTAAAATGCAATAAAATAAATGGGAAAAAAAATTGTCTGTTCATATCCTTCACCTACTTTTCCATTGGGGGGGGGGGTTGCTTTTTTTTTTTTTTTTTGTAAATTTAAGTTCTTTGTAGATACTGGATATTAGCCCTTTGTTAGATGGATAGATTGCAAAAATTTTCTCGCATTCTGTAGGTTGCCTAATCACTCTGATGATAGCATATTTTGCTGTAAAGAAGCTCTGTAGTTTAATTAGGTCTCATTTGCCAGTTTTGGCTTTTTTGCAATTGCTTTTGGTTTTTCAGTCATGAAGTCTTTGCCCATGCCTATGTCCTGAATGATGTTGCCTAGGTTTTCTTCTAGGTTTTTTATGGTTTTTGGTCTTACATTTAAATCTTTAATATATCTTGAGTTAATTTTTATGTAAGGTGTAAAGAAGGGGGCTAGTTTCAGTTTTCTGCATATAGCTAGCCAGCTTTCTGAACACTGTTTATTAAATAAGGAATCCTTTCCCCATTGCTTCTTTTTGTCAGATTTGTCAAAGATCAGATGGTTGTAGATGAGTGACGTTATTTCTGAGGCCTCTGTTCTGTTGCAATTGTCTATATCTCTGCTTTGGTACCAGTACCATGTTGTTGTGATTACTGTAGCCTTGTACTATAGTTTGAAGTCAGGTAGTGTGATCCCTCCAACTTTGTTCTTTTTGCTTAATATTGTCTTGGCTATATGGACTTTTTTTGGTTCCATCTGAAATTTAAAGTTTTTTTTTTTTCTAATGCTGTGAAGAAAGTCAATGGTAGCTTGATGGGAATAACATTGAATCTATAAATTACTTTGGCCATTTTCATAATACTGATTCTTCCTATCCATAAGCTGGAAGGTTTTTACATTTGGTTGTATCCTCTCTTATTTCCTTGAGCAGTGATTTGTAGTTCTATTTGAAGAGGACCTTCATATTCCTTGTAAGTTGTAGTCCTAGGTATTATATTCCTGTGTCCAGGAATTTATCCATTTCTTCTAGATTTTCTAGTTTATTGGCATAGAGGTGTTTATAGTGTTCTCTGATGGTAGTTTGTATTTCCGTGGGATCAGTGGTGATCTCCCCTTTATCATTTTTCATTGTGTCTATTTGATTCTTCTTTCTTTTCTTCTTTGTTATTCTGGCTAGTGGTCTATTTTATTAATCTTTTCAAAAAACTAACTCATGGATTCATTGATTATTTGAAGGGCTTTTCATGTCTCTATCTCCTTCAATTCTGCTCTGATCTTAGTTATTTCTTGTCTTCTGCTAGCTTTTGAATTCATTTACTCTTGCTTATCTAGTTTTTTTTTTTTTTTTTTTTTTTTTTGGGTGGGGGGTTTTTGTATTTTTTTAAACCCAGGGGGGGGAGTAGTGGCGCGATCTCGGCTCACCACAACCTCCACCTCCTGGGTTCAAGCAATTCTCCTGCCTCAGCCTCCTGAGTAGCTGGGACTACAGGCACGCACCACCATGCCCAGCTAATTTTTTGTATTTTTAGTAGAGACGGGGTTTCACCATGTTGACCAGGATGGTCTCGATCTCTTGACCTCGTGATCCACCCGCCTCGGCCTCCCAAAGTGCTGGGATTACAGGCTTGAGCCACCGCGCCCGGCCGCTTCTCTAGTTCTTTTAATTGTGATGTTAGGGTGTCAATTTCAGATCTTTCCCACTTTCTCCTAGGATGTTTAGTGCTATAATTTCCCTCTAAACACTGCTTTAGCTGTGTCCCAGAGATTCTGATTTATTGTTTCTTTCTTCTCATTGGTTTCAAATAACTTATTTATTTCTGCCTTAATTTTCCTACTTACCCATCATCATTCAGGAGCAGCTCGTTCAGTTTCTGTGTAGCTATGTGGTTTTGAGTGAGTTTCTTAATCCTGGGTTCTAATTTGATTGCACTGTGTTCTGAGAGACTATTTGTTATGATTTCCATTCTTTTGCATTTGCTGAGGAGTGTTTTACTTCCAATTATGTCGTCGATTTTAGAATAAGTGCTATGTGGTGCTGAGAAGAATGTATATTCTGTTGATTTGGGGTAGAGAGTTCTGTAGATGTCTATTAAGTCCACTTAGTCCAGAGCTGAGATCAAGTCCTTTATATTCTTGTTAATTTTCTGTCTCCTGTCTCTTGATCTGCCTAATATTGACAGTGGATTGTTAAAGTCTCCCACTATTATTGTGTGGGAGTCCAAGTCTCTTTGTAGGTCTCTTAAGAACTTGCCTTATGAATCTGGGTTCTCCTGTATTGGGTGCATAGATATTTAGGATTATTAGTTCTTGTTGCATTGATTTCTTTACCATTATATATTGCCCTTCCTTGTCTTTTTTGAACTTTGTTGGTTTAAAGTCTGTTTTACCAGAGAGTAGGATTGCAACCCCTGCATTTTTTTTTTTTTTTGCTTTCCATTTGCTTTTTACATCTTCCTCCATCCCATAATTTTGAGCTTTGAGCTTACATGTGCCATTGCACATGAGATGGGTCTCCTGGATACAGTCTTAACTTTTCATCCTTTTTTTTTTTTTTTTTTTTTTTTTTTGAGACAGATTTTTGCTTTTATTGCTCAGGCTGGAGTGGAATGGCACAATTTCAGCTCATCATAAACTCTGCCTCCCAAGTTCAAGTGATTCTCCTCCCTCAGCCTCTCAAGTAGGTGGGATTACAGGCATGCACCACCACGCCCTGCAAATTTTGTAGTTTTAGTAGAGACAGGGTTTCTCCATGTTGGTCAGGCTGGTCTCGAACTCCCGACCTCAGGTGATCATTCACCTCCGCCTCCTAAAGTACTGGGATTACAGGCGTGAGCCACTGTGCCTGGCCTAAGGTTAATATTGTTATGTATGAATTTGATCCTGTCATTATGATGCTATCTAGTTATTTTGTCCATTAGTTGATGCAGTTTCTTCATAGTGTTGATGGTCTTTACATTTTGCTTTCTTTTGCAGTGGCTAGTACCAGTTTTTCCTTTCCATATTTAGTGCTTCCTTCAGGAGCTCTTGTAAGGCAGCCTTGGTGGTGACAAAATCCCTCAGCATTTGCTTGTCTGTAAAGGATTGTATTTCTTCTTCACTTATGAAGCTTAGTTTGGCTGGTTATGAAATAATGAGTTGAAAATTCTGGGTTGAAAGTTCTTTTCTTTAAGAATGTTGAATATTGCCCCCCACTTTCCTCTGGCTTGTAGGATTTCTGCAGAGAGATCTGCTGTTAGTCTGATGGGCTTCCCTTTGTGAGCAACCCGACTTTTCTCTCTGGCTGCCCTTAACATTTTTTCCTTCATTTTAACCTTGGTGAATCTGACAGTTATGTGTTTTGGGGTTGTTCTTCTTGAGGAGTATCTTTGTGGGGTTTTCTTTATTTCTTGAATTTGAATGTTGACCTGTCTTGCTTGGTTGGGGAAGTCCTCTTGGGTAATATCCTGAAGAGTGTTTTCCAACTTGGTTCCATTCTCCCCATCACTTTCGAGTACACCAATCAAATGTAGGTTTGTTTTTTTCACATATTCCCATATTTCTTAGAGGCTTTGTTCATTCCTTTTCATTCTTTAATCTTGTCTTCGTACTTTATTTCATTAAGTTGATCTTCAATCTCTGATACCTTTTTGCGTGCAGCAAGAATTTCAAGCTAGTGGATCTTAGTTTGCTGTGCACTTTGGAGGTGGGATCCACTGAGCAAGACCACTCAGTTCCATGGCTTCAGCTCCTTTTCCAGGGGAGTAAATGGTTCTGTCTCACTGGCATTCCAGGTGCCACAGGAGTATGGAAAAAAAAAAAAACTCCTCCAGCTAGCTCAATGTCTGCCCAAATAGCCATCCAGAGCTTGAAAACCAGGGCCCCTGTGGTATAGGCACCTGAAGAAATCTCCTGGTCTGTGGATTGTGAAGACTGTGAGAAAAGTGTACTATCTGGGCTGGCATGCACCATCTCTCATGGCACAGTCCCTCACAGCTTCCCTTGGCTAGAGGAGGGAGTTTCCTGACCCCTTGCACTTCCTGGGTAAGGCGATGCCCCACCAGGCTTCTGCTCACCCTCTGTGGGCTGCACCCACGGTCTAACCAGTCCCAATGAGATGAACCACATACCTCAGTTGGAAATGCAGAAATCACCTGCCTTCTGCATTGATCTTGCTGGGAGCTACAGACTGGAGTTGTTCCTCTTCTGCCATCTTGCCGGGGAATCCCATGAAATCTTTATTTAGATGACATGCAATGACCTTTTTTCTTCATTTGGAAAGAAGGCATCAACAAAGCATCAATTGTGCCTTATTCTTCTGCTCTTCTATATGGGCCATTACAGATAAAGTTGGTGCCAATGACATAACGACCACAAACCCACACAGGAGCCCTGACATAATATGCCAACACCTAGGTATACGATTATATAAATAATAAGTGGAGTATAATTACATGGCATGCCTAATTTATTTATTCATATATAACCATAGGAATGAACAAAAAATACACACAATCTTATAGCACATTTTGAGGCCCATGAGAATAAAATGTGAGAGTGTAATTTTTTATATCTGATAATTGGCAGTTGACAATTGTGCCTGTAAGACATAGTGTTATTAAGTTTTGTCCTTGTACAATTTTATAGAATTTCAGGTCCGTGACTCTTTAGGAAATCAGTGATAGGGTAGAATTGCTTAACAAAATAACATTGCAAGCACTATACATTATTTTGTATGTTCAAGCACTGTGATAATCGTCCATATTTTGGAGTGCTAGTCTTGGCCTCAGTCCTGATTGTCACATTAAACAAATCAACTTCTGGAGTTTCAGTGTTTATTTTCTGTGAAATAAGGACCATGCACTCTTTTCTGCCATCCGTACAGAGAGAATATAGAGGCCAATTGAAACAGTAGATGTGAAATGGCTTTGCAAGTCATAAAGGACTGTGTACATGTGAGACCTCATTATTTCTGTACTTTACTGATAAAATTTTTCTTGGCAACAGAAACAAACAAAAAAAAGGTTTCAATCATGGTTTTGCCAGTTATCCAACATCTGAGATGATCAGCAAGAGGATTCAAATTTACTCAGTACTAATATTTAGCATCACCTTCTTCAAAGGGTAAGTAAACTTTACACTGGAATGAAGTTTGTTTTGTTTCTATCCACTTGAGCTTACTAGAATATACATAGGAGAATTTGCCAAATAGCCACCTGGCCCTGAGGTTTTTAAGTTTTGCTCTGAAAGGCTCTTATAACCATGTTAACTTTGAAATAACAAATGAGAGAATGTAACAAGGAAAAAGATAAACAATTCTCTAATCACCATTATCAATATTGCTATATTAAAAACTTTTAATATCCCTATATTTGAGAGGTTTTGTGTGTTAGTGAAGTCTGCTTAGTCCAAATGATTTGGGCCAGTATCCACATATATTAATTTTTACCAGAAGCATTTCAGAAACTTAATTAAGCTGGCAGGTTGTGTCCTTTTCATGATCTTTCTTGAATATAGTCCCATTTGCAAAAGTTAAAGGCAAGTTGAAAGTTATCTTAGCACAATACAATGAATCAAAATATTTTTGTCTAAATGGTAGTTTTTAACATACCTAATAAAAATGGTCATACTCCTACTCATTTCCTAAAATACTCCATAGTCTCTATGTCTCTTTCTAGAATTTCCGCAAATTGATACATTGACTTGAATAGTTCCTTTCCTTCCCATTACCACTCTTCCAATCTTTATATAGCTGAATTATCTTTAGCCTCTGTGCTAAGGTAGATGTACCCTCTTTCAGTTAGCTTTCAACAGCACTTCTGATTTTACCCAAGTAGTAGTTAGGTATTTCTTCATGTGTTTCTTTCTATTCATATATTTATTTTTCTTCATCTATGGGTGAATGTAAAATACAAAGTATTATTCATCTTGTATCCAGAGTGTCTAGCACTGCATTCCGGTGTTTAGAAAATATGCGATATATAAATAATTAAAATAAATGTATCATAATGTCTAGTGATTATCTTAAAACATGGCTTGGAAAATAATTATGTATCCCCTGAAAAGCGAGAAGGAAATAAGAAAGACCCAAAATCTTAATCTCCCCTGGCCTTTACTATCACTATAAAACATCTATTCTTGCATTGTTTACAAAGACCCATTCCAACTGCGATCACTGTCTACCTTAGTTTATCTTAATTGAGAGCAAGACTATAAACTTTCCAAACACGTGAGAAAAAATATGACAAGTACAATCATAATTTAGCCTCTGGTAAGTAGCTTCATGTCTGGAACCTAGTCCAGAAACTACTTATTTTCTCCATAAGCCTTACAGGTTGGTGGGTGATACATACATTTGTAACTTTCCCAGAAGCACAGAAAATTTTAGTTGAGACTCTTGATATTTAAAGAGTCTATCACCTTCCCTTGTTATCTGTGTAAATTACCATCCTATAGAAAATAATTTTCCAGATAACACAATGTGAATTACAGTGGGATCTCTAACCAGAGCCCCAATTTCCTGACTGAGTCCAGTGAGCTTTCCATTTTGCTATGGATTTCACATTCCCAGAATATTTTCAGAAAATAAAGTAGAGAATGCAATGCTAATCTGGATTTTCTTCTGTTTTGATTATCACCTCTATGCTGATGATTCCCAACTTTACATTTCCAGGAATAATTTTTCCTCATAGCTGTGGACCTATATATGTAGTACTTTCTCAATATCTTTTCTTCACCTCAAATTTAACATATCCTTGCTTAAATCTTAAGATTTCCCCCACCTTCAACCCTGATCCTCTTCTGCCGTTTCTCATCTTTGTGAATCGTATCTGTATCTATCCCTTGACTCAATCCAGAAAACTGTGAGTCATCTTTTGCCATTCTTATCATTCAATCTCAACATTAAATCTGTTATATTATCTCAATTTTACTTTCTAAATGTTTCTTAAATCTATCTAATGTTCTCTATCTCCTATTATTTCTGCACTATTACGAGCTACTCTTACTGTCTATTACAGTAGTTTTTCAATCCATTGCCATGCTTCCAATTTGGTTCTTCAGTGATCAGTTTTCTTCACTACAGACAGAATGATCTTCCAAAATAAAAATATCACACTACACATCCTCCCCAAACCCCTTCAGTAAAATGTCATTCTCTTAAGATAAAGATTGAAAGCCTTCATATAGCCTGGAGGCTATTTATTACTTTCCTTCTTCCAACCCTGCAACATGCTCCTTCTGTTTCTCTAAGCTTCAGTCATACTAAAAACTCAGGTTCTTGACTGTACCTTGGCACATGCAGTTCCATCTGTCTAGAATTTTCTTCCTTTCACCTAGCTCCCATTTCCCATTTCAGCCTTTCCATAATTAATACCTACTTACTCTTTAGATATAATTCAAGTATTCTTTTCTAGGGAAGAGTTCTCTCATCCCAATCTAGGTCAACTTCTCAGGTTATGAACACTTATCTAATTATGTTTCTTTTTTTCTTGCAGAGAATTTACCTTAGATTAAAATTATCCATTTACAAATATAACTTTTTATTTCATTTGAAATACAAGCTCTATGAAAAGGGTAGTACGGTTTATTTTATTTTACCACTATTTTAATCACTAGCCCTTAACCCAGTGCATGGTACTTAGCCTGTGTTCTATAAATATATTTTGAGTAAATGAATGTTTCAAAAAGAGTTGTATTGCCATCCTGCTGCTCTTGCTTTAGGAAGATAATTCACGACTAGGTATGAGTGGGAAAAGTATAGTATATTGGTTAACAGTAAGGCTTCTGGTGTCAAACATAGCTGAATTCTAGTCCAAGCTCTACTAGTTTACTACCTCTGTGATCTTAAGTATTTTGAGTCTCAGTATTCTCACATATAAAATAAGAATAGCAATACTAACCTCACAGGTTATTATGAGGTTTAAATGGCATAATGCACCATTTTAGGTTGAATTCTGTCCTCCTAAAATTTTTTATGTTGATGTTTTATGTTATGTTGATGTTCTAACCCCTAGAACCTCAGAAGATGACTGTATTTGGAGATATTTTCTTTACAGAGATAATCACGTTAAAATGAGGTAATTATGATGGGCCCTAACCCAATATGACTGGTGCCCTCATAAGAAGGGTAAATTTGGACACAAAGAAAATATGCATAGAGAAAAGATGATATAAGGAGAAACAGGTTCAAAAGGACCATCTACAAGCCAAAGAAAGAGACCTAGAACAGATCCTTTTTTCTCAGCCCTCAGAAGAAACCTACCTTGCTGATACCTTGATCTTGAAAATCCAGCTGCTAGTTAAGGAGACAGTTAAATTTTTGTTGTTTGAGCCACCCGATTTGTGGAAGTTTGTTACAGAAGTCCTAGTAAACTAATACATGAATGTTACGCTTATGGTATGGTGTTGACAAATGGGTCTAATTGGTTTCAAAGTGATCTTTACAGTGAAGCCTTTTCTGACCTTCCTTCTTAGAGATGCAATCTCATCTTCTGTCAGTCCTTGAACTCCTTCCCTGCTTCATTTTTCTTCATTGCATTTATCAACATCTAAGTACAACCTCTTTTATTTCTTTTTTATTTTCTTAACTCCCTCAGTGTAATCTCTAGGAGGCAAATATTTGTGTGTGTTTCGTTCATTGCATCATCTGCAAGTGAGCCTTGGCACATAGTAGGCATTTGATAAACATACACTAACTAATTGATAACTACCACTGCTGTTGTTGCTGTTAACAAATAAATTGTCTTCCACTACCCCATCTCTAAATACATACATTTATTCATTCAGCCTTCTAAGCACAAGTCACTGGGCCAGGTGTTAGGCACACAGAGATAAGTAGATAATAGATATAGTATCTCTTTACAAGGGGATTATTTTCAGTAAATGGAGAAAGATACATAAAAAAAAAATCAATGTTCCAATATGTTTCTGTGCCTTTAAAAGAGTTTATCCAAGGTAGAATGGTGGCATATTAACCCTTGATGATCCTTCAATAAGGGAGTCGTTGTCTTCTGATACTTACGACTTCATCCTCTATTTATTTTGTTTTAAACTGTCCACAAACTAGATTAATAGATTTTGAGTTTGCACACTGAATAGATCCTGTTGCCTCTACACTGCTTTCAGTGTTATGTTTCTAGTCTCACAAGTGTTCATAGTATTTTCTTCTCTACCAATGGCTTTTGATTTGCACACAGAAAGCTATGGTGAAGTCAGTCACAGAAAAGAGCAATAATTATATTTTTACATGCATGAATATAGACATTAATCACATAAGTGAGTACTATTATACAGCCCAAACAATAATGGATTGAGCTTGGGAGGGTTCTAGGTCAGAATCTTAGCTTCTCTACTTCCTAGCTGTGTCACTAATTCCCAATTTCCAAATCTGTAAAATACAGTTATAATACTTGCCCAATTATTTTCATGGTACTTGTTGTTATTGGGGGGTCTACAGAATGTTAGAACTGAGAAAGAAGTCATCTACCCATACTCCTGCAAAGGCGGAAATTGAGATTCAGAGTTTTGGAACACGTTTACACTGGATATACAGCTAATGAGTTTGGAATGTAGTCACACATTTCCTCAAACATTCCATATACATTCCATTGACTTTCCATGCTCTACTGAAAATCCAAATGGTAGTAAGAAACAGGCTTAGATATTTTAAAAAATCCTATCTAAGACTGAGTTGAAAGTCCCTCTTGGTAACTGGTAAGAAAACCACAAAACAGTAAATCTGCCTTTTTTAGTTTACAATGATTGAATGTTTATAGTGAACCAAGTTTTAAAAGGTTTAATTTGGTTTCATGCCAATAACATGACTTACAAATGATAAAATTAATCCCCAAATTTACAGATGGGATAGATCAAAACAAGGAATCTCTTTTTTTTTTTTTTTGTTTTGTTTTGTTTTGTTTTTTGTTTTTTTTCCCATTTATTTTATTGCATTTTACATTTTGGGGTACATGTGAAGAACATGCAAAATTGTTGCATAGGAACACACGTGGCAGTGTGATTTGCTGCCTTCCTCCCCATCACCTACATCTGGCATTTCTCCCCTTGCTATCTCTCCCCAGCTTCCCACCCCCCACCCTCCCTCCCCTATTTCCCCCCAACTGACCCCAGTGTGTAGTGCTCCCCTCCCTGTGTCCATGTGTTCTCATTGTTCAACACCCGCCTATGAGTGAGAACATGCGGTGTTTGATCTTCTGCTCTTCTGTCAGTTTGCTGAGAATGATGGTTTCCAGGTTCATCCATGTCCCTACAAAGGACCCAAACTCATCGTTTCTGATGGCTGCATAAGACGATAGACTGGATAGGGAAAATGTGGCACATATACACCAAGGAATCTCTTTTTTTAAAAAAAATTCTTTATCCCCTATTTCTTATATTTAAATGATAAATTTCCTTGTATCCCAAAGGAGGATTTAGCTGAAAGAAAAGTATTCCCTATTCATAACAGGGAATAAGTTCTATTCATGAAACAATGTTTGAAATTGAATTAAAATAATTTAATTACACTATATAATTACCTTCCACAATCTTTACAGTCAAGAGGCCCATAGGATCTGGCTATTTGTAGAGATGTTTAATCCGATTTTACTTTAGTATTCATTAAACAATGGCAATTCCTTCCTAATTCTCCTCTGACACACATTATGCCTCTAAAGAAGAAAAGACCTTAAACAGAGTCCTTTTTTTAAACAGAGCTGCTGAGTTCATCAAATTATTCAGGCAAGAACTCACTGAACAACCAAAACAATAGTTTCAAACAGATGACATTGTGTTTCAAGAACAAAACAAAAAATGTTAAATAAACTATTGGGGCATGAAATAAACTACCAATGGGAAATCTCAGTGAGCTGCAAATGTATGCCTAACTGAGATTTCAACATTATCCCCAAGTTCAGTCATCAGTTGAAAAGCCCTTTATGCAAATCTATGCCCAACTAAAGGAAAGTAGAGGTGACTATTTGAGATAATATTGCATATTCAGTTTGAAAAACAATAGTTCACAATTTCAAAACCTCTTAGTATCCAACAGATTCATGTGGTAGTAATGTTTTTTTCCTTGAAATCTATCTCCCTAGCCATGGAAACTGTGCTTTGATTAGTTGCTTAATCTAGCTCCTTCTTTA